ATTGAAATAATGGTCAGTGGCTCATTGCTGCCATGGATAAAATTAGACGAACAGATGCAATTTTTGCAACAGGAGAAAAAGTGTCAGTGTAATCTAATCCATAGATTTGTGTATACCCCTTTGCAACCAGACGTGCTTTAAGACGATCAATGTTGCCATCTGGTCCTACTTTGACTGTGTAGATCCAGCGACACCCAACAACTGATTTCCCAATAGGAAGGGGAACCAAGTCCCATGTCCCACTAGAATGTAAAGCCTCCATTTCAGCTAACATAGCTCGACGCCACTCGGGGTGTGATAATGCCTCATGTGTGGTTTTAGGAATACAGACACCAGATAAATGTGAAGTGAAGGCAAAGTAAGGGGTGGAGAGGCGATGATAACTTAAAAAGTTATAAATGGGATGAGGATTCAAAGTTGAGCGTGTACCTTGGCGGAGGGCTATGGGCAAATCATCATGATTGTTCTCTGGCACTTGGGTAGCTGACTGTGCTGGTGTGGGATCCAAAGTAGGGGAATCAACAGGCGTGACCTCAGAGGACTCATTGGGTGGAGGGCGAGGGCGTCGTTGATACACTTGTAAAGGACGGGTGGTTGGTGGAGATGGGTCGATAGGAGCATCGGTAAGGGGGGTGGAGATGGGTCTGAGATATGGAAGAAAGTCAACACATGAGGGGGTATCATGGAGGGGAGATGGGTCATAAAATGAGGACTCAAGGAAAGTGACATCAGCGGACACAAAATGTTTTCTAAGTACCGGGGAATAACAACGATACCCCTTTTGAAGACGGGAATATCCAAGAAAGATACATTTGATTGACCTAGCAGACATTTTGGGTATTCCTGGTGTGGTATCATGGACAAAGCAAACACACCCAAACACATGAAGTGGTAATGGAAACAGTGCCTGAGTAGGAAACAAAACAGAATGGGGAATGGCATTACCAATAACCGATGAAGGCATTCTGTTAATGAGGTGGCATGCAGTGAGAACGGCATCTGCCCAATACTGTGGTGGTGAATGTGAATGTAACAACATAGTACGGGCAATTTCAATTAAAAGTCTATTCTTGCGTTCAGCAACCCCATTTTGTTGAGGTGTATAAACACAAGAAGACTGATGAAGCATACCTCGTGATGTCATGAATTGATTAAAGGGACTGGTAAAAAATTCCTTAGCTTTATCACTACGTACAATCTTGATAGAACGCCCAAATTGGGTGTGAATTTCAGCCCAAAACTTTTGAAAGATATGAAACAATTCAAGACGTTCTTTCATTAAAAACAACCACGTGTGACGGGAGAAGTCATCCACAAAAATTACAAAATAACGAAACCCTAAGGTAGAATTGACTCGATACGGACCCCATACATCTGTATGAACTAAATCAAAAAGGGACGCAGCCCTGTTATTGACACGTCTTGGAAAGGACTGACGAGGTTGCTTTCCAAGATGACACGACTCACAATCTAAAGAGGAAATACTGGAGAAACGTGGGACCATACGTCGAAATTTGGAAAGACTGGGATGACCCAAACGATTATGTAAGGAAAGTGCTGGTTCAGTAGACACACAAACAACTGGATCAAGAGGTTGGAGGTGATACAAGCCCTGAGATTCACGCCCGACGCCAATCATCTTCCCCGTACAACGGTCCTGCACAGTCACAGAGTCAGCATAAAAGGTTATAGAACAATTAAGAGAGCGTGTAATTTTGCTAACAGAGACAAGGTTAAAAGGGCTACGAGGAACATATAGAACTGAATCTAATGGTAAGGATGAAAGTGGGAGTGCTTTCCCAATACCTGTAGCCGAAGTGTGAAGACCATTGGTATTTTGTAATATGGGATAAAAGATGGGGATTACCAGAAATATGGTCGAAAGCACCTGAGTCAATGATCCATGAGCTAGTTGTGTTTGACACACATGCTGTAGAAGTACCTGATGTTGACGAAGTCAAAGTGGACTGCTTAAATTTCTGATAAGCATCATATTCGTCGGGAGGCAGCATTGGCAGAGCTGGGAGGTTTACCATGTAACTTCCAACACCTATCTTTAGTATGACCCATCCTATGACAAAAATCACACTTGGGACGATTACGGCGTGGATATCCTTTGTGATTTCCCCCATCATGCCCGGAACCTTGAGATGCAAGAATGATAGAATCACTTTAAGATGCGTCAACAGATATTGGGGTGGCTCGAAGAATTCTGGAAAAGGCTTCAGACATTGTAGGAACAGAAGAACTGGAGAGAATTTGCTCACAAATTGATAACAACTCTGGGCGAAGACCTGCTAAGGTTAAAACCATAACAAGTTGTTATCTTTGCTCAAGTTGTTTCTCCTTATCCTCAGTGATAGGTTGAATATTATTATATTCAAACAGTAATGCCTCAGCCCGTCCTAGAAACTCTTGAATGTCCAAATCCTGTTGTTTGAGCGTAGCAATTTTGGAACCAAAGGAAAACAGATTTTGGATGTCATTTGTGTAGTTGGACTTCGCTTTTTCCCAAATCTGTTTGCATGTGCGATATGATTGATAAGTAGGATGAAGTTTTGGATCCATAGATTGCCATAACACGTTACACAATAAGGCATCCATATTCTCCCAGTCATTCCGCTTGTCTTTGATCGTAGCTACATCGACATTCAAGTGATCAATTTGACCTTGACCCTTGAACCACATCTCCACGGAAATAGCCCATGACTGATAATTAATACTTCCAGCTAGTCGATTGGTGGTGATGATTGGAACTGAAGCAAACGAAGAGAAACTTGACATTTTTTTCTTTTTTTTTTGTTTTTTTTTGTTTTTTTTTGTTTTTTTTTTTGAACAAATAAAAGATCAGGCAAATCAGTAAAGCGGAACAGTAAGCTCAAAAATAAAACAAAATGGAAGAACTACTATTGTGACCAGTGGAACAAGCAGCAGCAGAAGTCTGCTCAGAAGGCAGTGACGGTGGTGGAGCAAGGCAGCGACGGTGGTGGAGCGTCTGTACCGGCGGCGCGTTTCTGGCGGTCAGTTCGCCCGGCGGCGGCGCGTGTGGATGCGGCGGCGCGTGGAGAGGCCTAGGCGTACCAGACTGGCTGATCTAAGTCGTCGGAGACCTAGGTGTCTGAAAACACTGGCGGTGTCGCTCGCAGATGAGTAAAAACGGAGTAGATCTGCAAAATCGGTCAGTAAACCGTGGGTAGAGAAGTGGCGCGTGTAGGCGCGTGAATGAGTCCGAGCTGGTACGGTTTCCGGCGGGTTGGTCGCGATGGTGCGCTGAGCAAGGCGGTAGGCGTAGATTTGATAAATCACTAACGGAAATGCTCCAACACCTAGTGCGGCTACTGTTCACGCCGGAAAAACAGTGTCCTAACTACAGTGCGCCGCCTAAAACAGTGTCTCTGATACCATGTGAATTATATGAAGTGTATTTCATTATAATGAATCTTAATATGAAGAACTATACAAATAGCTATATTTATAGCAAAAACTAGAGCACTAGGGTTACTATACAAGGTGGGCTAAGCCCAAAACAACTAGGGTTTCAACAGTCTCTATACTCAGATATAGATCCCTTCTGTTACAGGCTAAATAAAGGCCCCAGAGGGTCCTGTACCAAATCTGGTTGAAATCTCCTGGTCAACGCTCGTGTAAATGAGTCCCAATTCAGATGTTGTGTCTGTCCCTCCCACCATTGGAACCAGCTGAGAGCTTGGTCTTCCAGTGCGATGACCGCCACATCCAGTTTATCTTCATCTTCCGTTCGATTCAATCTGAAGTGTCTGTTCATCCTTAACAACCAACCTGAAACATCCTTTCCGTTGAAAAGGGGCAAGTCAATTTTTCTTCCCGTATTGTTCTGATTTCTATGATTCCGTCTTGGTTCGTGATCGTGTCGCGAGACGGAATGGTTATCTGCATCATCCGAACTATCTTCATCGTGCTAATTCCTCTGATGAGTGGTTCGCTGAGAGTTGTTCGATCTGCGCGACTGACTCCGAGATCGGTTTGTCATCTGAACATGTAATTCAACGATACTAGCTTGCATCGCAGTTTGCATCGCTGCAATGTTCGCAGCTAGATTCTCCATATTGGCCTGTATTTCACGTTGACCACGCTCAACGTCATTCATTCTCCCTTCCATTTTCTTTCTCGTGCCAACCATTCACCACTACAACCAGGCTCTGATACCAATGATACGACCTCCACAAATCCAAAATCAATCACAACAGAGTTAAGAACAATAGTAAGAAACAGAATCTTATTCACAGAAGGTAAGTCGTATACAATTGTCCCAAGAAGGAGATAAAACTCCAACTCCCAGTCCCAGACAACTAGTCTAAAAACAACATGCCATCCTACAGCAGAAATATACTATTTATATCCTTCTACAAACAGAAGGTAGTTATTAGTTACTAACAACTCACAACTAATAATGCGTTAGTCTATTTTAGGCCTTCTAGAATAAACTCGCCCGAACCATCTATTCTGAGTATGTAGACTAGCTGGATCTCTATCATGGCTATTAACTCATATTCCCATGCAGTCAAGTCAAAGTAGAGCTTGGTACAGCTAAGTAAAGGAAAGTAGAACCTCAGTATAGTAGCACCATCTTCCAGTTTCATACAAACGTACAGTATAAGAGAGCTTAGTAGATTTCAGTAAGTTGCACTTAATAGAGTTAAAGATGCTCCTGTTGTCACCAGTGTTCAAGTTCAAGATTCGAATGGCCATTTACTAAAATAAAATTCACCCAAAAATGACTAACATGTCGTCTTGAATCAGTGTGTAGCAGTCTATAATGGGATATGGGGCTGCAAACAGGCCAGCTGGGGAAATACCCCTGCTGGTCCTAGGCCGTGCCCGCCCTTGGAAAAGGCATACAAAGAAAATATATCAATAGTATGGTGCAGACAAATCTTTAAGATAACAATTTGTACTTGTAGGCAAGATGTGCGTACATTAAAGGATTAAAGAAGAAGTAAACCAAATTATTTAAATATTACCATGATTGCTTTTGTGTTCTCTCTGGATCCTTTCGCAATATCTGTTTTTTGACATGCTGTAGACCATCAGCCCATACTCTGAGAACCAATACCAACTCCGAATTTTTCCTAACACATTGAAAGGAATATTTGAAAATGAGAATTAAACTAATATTACTAGATTCAGCTGCCAAGATATCAGAATCAAGTGCAACCTCGAGCACATCATTTTACACTTAGAAATTACCCCCCCTGCTCCAAAGTATAAGGAACAAATAAAAATGTGATGCAGTTTGCCAAATGGATCCTCAAATGTCTGTCCTAGCAAAAAAAAACTAGGTGTTTGTGTTTTACCTGGCACACTTCCTATGGAGGCAATATACACAATGAATGAATCTAAAGCTGTGAATGGCGACTTTCCCATCAAGTAAGTTCTTGAAGGATCACTTTCAAAATGCTTTGAGTCAAATGCTTGGGGGGTGCCATTTTGTTGGATATTTTCGGTAATCTGTTAAAGAAATAATACTTTAGGTACGGCTTTCAATGCATACAACCTATAAGCAAATCATTTCCACAAAAATAAGATGATGGGGATAAGGCCGGCTAACAAAACCCATACGCCAAATATGTTACTAGAAACAACTTACTACAAGAGAGAAGCAATTGAGTACCTCTGTATCAAAATGCAGGTTCCTAACACAATCTGAATCCATTTTACAGACCAAAAGTTTCTCGCATTCGGCATCCATATTACAAATCAGTGATGCCATAAACATTTCTTCCTCACTCTGCCATGTAAAGAAAAAGTACTTATAACAAAAAAAAATGAGTATGTCAAATGCAAGGCTAGCTAGCAATCAGTGTAGGGAAAGGGATGGGACAACAATTGCAGCTCCTAGAACCCGAAAAATGATATATAGTTCATAGAGAGTACAAATTGGGATAAGGTGAGAATTAGAACTAGAATTTCAATTCAATCTGATCAGAAATGTTAAACAAAAGAAGGGTCACATACCATGTCCTTACATTTAAAGCGTCCACTGGGTAGAAGGACAGACGTCTTCCCTGCTTTAGATGAGAGAGCTAGACGAAAGCAGCGGTTTCTAGAGTAGACAGCAGTATCCACAAAGAGCTGACTTGGAATTCCAGCCGATTCTGAATCTTTAAAGACAACGAGCTTTTTGAATCTCTCATCCATAACATTTGAAGTATATATCCGTGAACATATCTGACACCGTCTCACAGAAAATGATTATCAATACAGCTGCTCAAGATAAAAAAAAAACATGAAGCCTCAGTTGTTTATTAGCAATTTCTTGAGTACTTAATTTTTTTGCAAAATCCTCTACTTAGAATAGCAGATCATTCAGATGTGTGGCACGCTCTACAATATTGAAGCATCGTAAACCCAAGCATAACAAGAACTTTATGACAAGAAAAAACACTGCCTCCATCTCAGAGAAATCAGCATACCTCAGTAACAAATGCCCCAACATGAGAGTTGTCCTTAAATGCAGCTTTTGGTAATCTAATGATTAAATGTCTGGAGAACTTTTCTGCCACAAATAATCATAGTTTCATGGTATAATAAATTTGATATTGTACGTAAAAGCAGTGGTGTCATGGATGTTGTTGTTGTACATAAAAACAGTGGCATGCGGGCAGCTTTTGCATAGAACTATGGCTCAGTCTGTTCATGTAAATAACCATTACAACTTACTCCTACAGCTGAGTCGTATAAAATGACTTATGCAGAAAGATAACATATGCATGCACATATTGACATGAACCCTAAAGCACTTGTGTTCAAGTGGAGAAGCTCTTGTCATACCATCAGTAGAAGAATCAAGCTCAACTATCCAGTCATGACTTCCTTCTAGAGAATATTTTTCTAGCAGAGCATCAAATACAGCCATGACCAGGAGATCAACCATTTCATCTCCATTCTTATCTCTATTTGCTTTCTTATTGAACTCCAAATCAAAATAAAGGTGGCATGGCAAGCCCTGGAATGGAAAACAGTCATCTAATCTCCAACTACACAAGTACACAACACTTAAAACTGCACCATCGACTAAAAATATTACAATACCATTTAGTGTTAATGCAGATTGACAGTAGACCATATTATCATTGAATACAGGGGTTCTAACATAAAGAGAAAACAGAAAAGTTGTTACCTCCTGAATGACTTCATAATGGTGTCTTCTTTTAGAGTTCATATTTTTGTACCTAAATAAGATTACAAGAAAAAGCAACCTTAGGAGGAGCTTGGCACTTAATACATACTTACTGAATTTTGAAGTGGATTAGTATCTGAGGACACACCTTTTCCAAAAGTGCTCATATGTGGAAACAAGAAACCTTCTTTGGCCATTAATGTGATTCTGATAGCTGAAAAGACGAGCATCCGTGCACTGCTTTGCATACTTCATTGCTTCATCCTGCTTAGGGTATGTAACCCATATTTCTTGTCTGCATAAGCACCAAACAGTAAGTGAGAAACCAATGAAGGTTTCAACTTAAATAAAGAAAACGAAAAAAATCCTAAAACTCACTGCCAATAAGTAGTCTAATGTGTAAAGTTACCTTAGCTTATTTTGTTCGCCAAGGTCTACATGTATTTCTTGCAACAGGCGCAACAAACTAGTAGGCCTTTTCGGAGGAACCCCGTGTGGAGACCCATAAAACACAAGTGGAGAGAACTGCTTCCGAGAGCTGCGTCTCTTCACTTTGGATGAACTGGACTGAAAGAACAATCGACCCTAATTATTATTAGGCTCGTAGCATCAACTACAATGCGGAAAATGAAAGACACCATCGTATGAAACAAGGGATAAGGGAAGTAAAATTGCAGCTTAATAGCATTTCCTAAAAAGGATGAAAACATTACATCTTCAACCGAGTGGTCAGTCTCTGCCATGCTCTTGGGGGTTTTTTCAACTAATTGCTTACATGCTGAATGTTCCTGTTTCAAAGTTCTCTTCCCTCTCTTTCGTTCTCCAATAGCCGATTCTAAGAAAGAAAACAAAGCAAAACATATTTTTTGGTCTGTTAGATGCAAGGAAGTAAGCCGCTTTGTTAAGCATCATATTGGGCACAAATTTTCCCACATTTTTCATTCTACATATCTATAATTAACAGACGTCATTGTACTATCAGACTTGAAGAAATATTAACTTCGATTTCTAGCAGAAATGAGAAATGGCACAACTTTGAAAATTCCAGTCACGCGTTTTGAGGTATATGGTTATAATAAAGGATTACATTGAAAAAAATATAAATCAAGATACGAAAAATACAAGAAAAAGATGGATATCAGAAAAAACGTTACGCGGAGGAGACACGCCGCACTTGAAGCATTCAAATAACCGATCGACGTCGTCCATGGGATAGCCTTTCACGTTTCAGTATCTCCGGCCGGCGTTTGGAACAGATACTGTGATGACGAAGTTGAAATGATTACATAAGAATTTAAGCACTTTGTCCCAATTTTTTGTCTCGCTCACTCCAGTTAACCATGAAGGGTGACGGCTGAATGAATCCATTGTTTTTTTCCGAATTTCAAATGTAATTAATCATCTGTTTAGCAAATTTTGGCCAAAATAATTTAGGGGGTTGTATTGTATGTGTATTGTGGTGATATTTTTTAATCCGTGTATTTCTAAAAAAGTCCATGGACTTTTAATTTCGTGGATTTTTAATCCGTGGACTTTTAAATCCATTGACTTTTAATCCGTGGATTTTTAAAAAAATCCAAGGACTTTTTAAATCCGTGGACTTTTTAATTCGTGGACTTTTCAAATGAATGACTTTTATATGAATGGTTTCTATGAATTTCAACAATCCATAGACTTTTTAATAGACAAGACCAGATTTCTAGAATCATAAAATGCACAAAGATCAAACATTCATCCTACTAGGTCATTCATATTAAAGTCTATGAAAGCAAATAAAAAATATGACAAATATAATAGCCAATGTTCTCTAAAAAAATATGACAAATAAAACATTCCAGTATAAACTTTAAACCACATAAAAAATGTCATCAATGCTCAAAATTGAAACAAATGTCTTGTCCAATTCAACTATGAATCAAAATTATTCATTTTCTACAACCGCCCACATTTGAGTAGCAAGATTCATTCTCCATTCATTGGCTTTTGCCCTCTGTTGATCTTGTGTCTGAAAATCATCCCATTCAAAATTATCCTCGTTATCGCTATGTGGGTCTTCTTCTGGGTCTGGAGGAAACTCATCAGATCGACATTCACGCCGAAGAAAATTATGTACTCCTGCACATGCCAAAACTAGTTCTGCTTGTGTTTTATAAGAGAATGGAGGTGTTGTTTTGAAAACCGTGAAGCGTGACTTAAATATTCCAAATATCCGTTCAATCACATTCCTTAAAGAAGCATGACGAAGATTGAATAGCTCAACGGCATTGACAGGATGATTTCCTTCACCACCAAAATCCTTAAGATGATATCGAGTACCTCGAAATGGAGCTAAAAATTGACGCCGATTTGGAAACCCACAATCCCCCAAATAATATTTACCTGAGCATTAAATCATTACACAATTATATTGTACAATAAGTAATTGGGTAATCAAAGATTTGTAAATATACATTAGTCTATTATGTGGTACAATAATTAATCGGTAATCACAGATTTATATAAAGTGTAAACATGTTAAAGTGTACCTGGTGGCACTTTAAGACCATTTGGCCTTGAAATTGCATCATTTAACACTTTTGAATCATGAGCAGAACCTTCCCAACCGCTAAGCACATATATGAATTGTAAATCAAAGTTGCAAGCAGCTAATACATTTTGAGATATAGTCCCATGACGATTTCGATAGCTATTCACTTCTCGTCCAGCTACTGTTGCAGGAATGTGAGTGTCATCTATTGCTCCGATGCAATCCTAACCGTAGGAAAAGAAAGTATACCAAAACAATTAATTAATTGTCCTTAATCGTGTAAAACTAAACTATTATTCATCAATAAAATGTTGAATTACTCACCTTAAAGTGGGGATAAAACCTTGTACTCTCTCTGATGACATGTGGTACGGATTCCGGTTTGGCCATAAATTCCGGAGCTATCGTATTCAACGCTTTCAATACTTTGTTGAAGCTTCTGCTAATGGTGAAGTGTGACCGCTTAAATATCATCCTTGGTTGACTATAGCGGTTGTTTTGGCCGACGATAAGTAAAAATGTTGCAACCATTTCTTCAACACAAATATATCGTGTATCTTCTAGAGGCGTTTTATTTTTTAGGATACAACATAATCTTTGAAAAATATCAGGATACATTCGGTACACATCTCTAAATGTTTTAGGGTCATCGGCCATTATTTCATCCATATATTTAATCCCGTTAGCCGTCACAGGTCGGCGAGTCAATGGGCGTCTAATGGGTTCATCGTTGATTCTTGAAACGAGATTATATATCATGTAAGTTACTGCTTCTATTGCGATTAGCAATATCTTAAGAGCCTCATAAAACTCAACCTCATCTTCATCTGCTCCATATAAATCTGTTTCACACATTGCTAATAGAAGAGAAAAAAAGCACTTAATTTAAAAGGTAAAATATGATAAATTGTAAAATAAAAAAATCTAAAGGATAATCCATAAGACTAGTCAAATAGACCATATCATGTTACAATCCATATAAAACTAAATCACTCCAACAATAGATAAAGTAAATACTCAAATATGACCTATTTTTATTGGATATCCCTAGTGGAGATTCACCTAATCTAGACGAATGATCCACTCATAACGTTGTTCAGGAGTCATCCTTAAAAAGAAATCATGCTTTGCTTTCGTATTCAGCAAATCAAGAGCTTTAAAGCAGTCCTCGTCTGTCAATCCAGGAGTCTCCTTCATAGCATCCAAAAGATCAGTGTCCCTTGATTCTCTCTTCTCCATTAAATAACAAATTTTATCAAAACTTTGCACAATTTTACCAAATCCACTTGATAAGTTCTCGAGAACTGCATCTTGACTATTACCTCCCTTTACGATGTTATTAGTACCTTCCAAATCAGTCCTACTCCTCTTTCCACGTGCTTTATTTGATGAAGATGGATTCCCTATATTTGTACGTTGATCTGGATGTCGTGAGTAGAGTGGAGAGGTTTGTTGGGGTGATGACATACTTTCACTTTGTATGAAAGTGTTGGTATCTGGGTCAAAACATAGTCCGTCTATGCCACCAATTTCATCCTCTTGTGCTCCCAGTGTTGTAGCCTCTGTAGTTTCACCTAAAGCAATCGAGCCCATTCCTGTTGCTGTTCCATTTCCTACCGCAACTCTCAAGTGTCCGTAGTCTGAAAATGTGTCTGTTCGAAGGTGTCCATGTGATGGATGTGACTGATACAATAAAACGACACAATTTTGATAATGACCATAACCATTTAAGAACTTCTATAAGTGATATGAAGCAAAAAACTCAGCTAACCTTCAGATAGTCAGACCACACTTCATCAGCTGCCGTGAATTTCTTTGTGATTGGATCCCATCCAAAGCCAGAATTATGACGCATAAGTTGAGCATAATTAGAATACTGTTTTTTGAACCATCTTACTCTGCTTTGGTAGTGGTTAAGAGCTATTTCATGACCAAGTTTTTCCTTAAGCATAGGAAGAAGTCTGGTCTCTACCGTTTGTTTGCTTATAACGCCATTAATATCACGCCACCCAAGTTTGGCACCTTCAACCATAACTTCAAGCAAAGTGTTTCTTTCTTCTATAGTCCAAGTCTTATAATCCTTCCGTTTGGAATTACCTTGTGAATCTCTCATCTATATGATTGTGTTAAAAAATAAAAGACCACTATGCACAAACAACAAATCTAACAAATAAATGAGTGGAGTGGCATTGATACCAAACTGTTACGAATATCAGTGTGTGCTTGGGAGAAGAAGAGGATTACAAGAAATAAAAATAAAGAACGTTGTTGGCCTAGTAAAGACAAAGTGGTACCAAACCAATTCAAGACTCCAAGGAATTGACTCAAAATGTAATTGTAGATAATACAGGAAATGTATAGGAACTCCATTTCTAAATGCTAAAAGGCACATAAGAACGATTTTAAATGGTCATAAAGAACATTTGGATCTTTGTATACAATCTTTGATGATATGAAGAACAGAGAGTGTGAGAATAATCCCCAGATGTCTGTTGCCAACATCCACAAAACCAAACACAAAAGTAGAATAGTATGAGGTGTAATGGAAACAGAACCAAACCATGTCAGGAGATATTAGAGATTTAAAATCTACCTTTAGTAGTTCATACGGAGTATTATTTTTTCAATAAACTTCTTGCAGTCTTGGGTGCACTCTGCAGGGCATATTCTAGCCCAAAGTTATTGATGATATTATTAATGAAGAGGGCACATATATCCATGCTAGCTCCAATAGTCCTAGTGGGAGGGTTTCAGAGAAATTCTAAACCTCTTACAGTGACTAATAGAAAAGAAGAACTACTACTAATAATAGCAAAGTAAAAATACTCTGTATAACACATATTGTTCTGTTATTTTACACTGAACTGCATCCTCAGGCGCAGCAACGAGGACTTAAAAACGGCCAACATTGAAAAAAATTAAAAATTAATAACTTGGGATGCTGATTAATTCTGAAATCAATATGTTACTTTAATTGAAAGCAATATCACCTGCTCCGCAAGCAATAGACGTTCTTAAAAATTAAAGTGGATGCATCCAAGGTTATTGACAGCAAAATTAAAATTGAAATCAATATGCCACTTTCAATACGGCCGACATTGAAAAAATTAAAAATTAATGGAATTCCAGAAATGATAACCGCACATAATGGAATTCATACATAGATTTTGGATTATAAATTGGAATTCATACACATAAAAATTATTTTTTGTTATCTTCAGAGCTTGAAATTGTTCTTTTTCGTATTGTTTTATGTGCATAAGTGTATTCATGATGTTGGTCTGCTGCGAAGCTCTGTGTATCTGATTGCAAAATATGAGAGGTGGGCGAGAGAAAAATAATTTACCTGGAGAGGTGTTCTTGGGGAGGAGGCGGCAAAACCCTGCAGAAGAAAGTCCCATGAAATCTCTTGGGGGAGCACGAGACAATTGGCGGGAAGGAGTATATATATGAGAGGTTATAAAATCCACGAGAATCCACTATTTTATAATTCCATGAGATTTGTTAATATTTTGAATACACCCAACCTTTTATTGACTTTTAAAAATCCTAATTGAATACACCTGCACTTTGATGGACTTTTATAAATCCTAATTGAATACACCCGGATTTCTAAAATCCATGGACTTCTAAAAAATTTCCACTAAATCCCGATACAATACACCCCCTTTAATTTGACATCTTAAGTTTCCGGTGTAATCTCCATAGAATATGTTCATTAAATAATTAGGGGGTGTTTGGAACTGATTCTAATTCTGCTTCTTTTTTAAAGCAGAAGCAGAATCGGAATCAGTTTTCAGAAGCTGGTACCCCCAGCTTCTAAAAAAACTGATTCTGAGAGTAAATTAGAGCACCAGAAGTGCTTCTGGAATTTCACCCAAACACTCCAGCTTCTGCTTCTGCTC